GCCGCCTCACACGTCGCATCTTCTCCAGCCGCTTGATGTAAGCTGCTTCTCGCCGCTCAAGCGGGCGTACGGACGTGAGATCGAGAAGCCTCGCCCGCCAAGGCGTCTACCACATTGACAAGATAGACTTCCTTACAGTCTATCAACAGATCCGGCCAACAGTATTCACGCAGCAGAACATCCAGGCAGGCTTCCAGGCGACAGGCCTTGTCCCTCCTTGTCCAGATCGCGTCCTATCGTCGCTTACAGTGGCTAGGACACCGTCTCCACCACAGACAACTACAGACAATAACGCCGCTATGCAGACAGCAGCAGCGCAGACAGAGACGCCACAAACAGTAGCAGAGCTTCAGCAGAAGGTGCGCTATCTCCAAGAGCGGCTACGCCGGAGATCAGAGAGCCCAACAAGCGTTATGATACGCCAGCTTGCTAAAAGCGCTCAGCTTGCAATGTAAACAGTAACAATACTTATAGAGGAAATTAAGAAGCTACGTAAAGAAAACTAGCGCCAACGACAAAAGCAAGAGCGGCAGCGTCAATATATCGCTTCTAGTGGGGTGCTCCAGGTCTAACAGGCTCAGCAGATCATTGCAGAGGCAGAAAGGGTAGTAATGGGGGGTGACTAGAACCAGACTGGCGAGCGACGTCAGCGCGCGCTGCCAACGTGCACGAAGTGCCACGTTCAAGGACATACTCGGACTTCATGTAAAGCTAGATAAAGAATAATATCTTTTAATTTAATTTAATTTTATTAAGTTGCTGTAGAGCAATTGAGTAGAGCGTCGCGTCAGGTTTGGTGGGGTGGGCCACTTACTGATGTGGGCCGCTTACTGATAAAACACGTTAGCTAGAACCTCTACTCTCTTATTTGTGCCTCCGACTACATCTCTCTATAACCTACCTACATAGTCTTATTAGTGCTTAGAAAACAAATATTAGCTAACTACCTTGTCTCTTAGTAAAAGAGGATTCGATACTAGAAAGAGTAAGTACTAGTATAAAAATTCCTATAGCCTATGATAGAGCTAAAGGGTATAGGTTTTGCTCCTTATGCCGTGGCTTGAGCTGTACCAGCCGTTGCCACGCTGCTCTGCCTGTTCTAGCCATTCTAGCTTTATTATCTGCTAAAGCGGCTTAGTGTTATTGACGTGTAATGTATATTCTAAATGCCAGGTATTGATTCAAACTTTAGAGGTTTTTCGCCAAGCTGTACATTCAAGGCTTAGACAAACAGTTTATGTACAGTAATTCATTTAGTAAATAATGTTAACTTCTTTTTCACTACATAAAGATTGTTAGGGGTCTTCCCTATTTGCAACCTGTTTAGGTGATGTTGTGAACATAGTATAGCTACGCAGAATCTAGCAAAATGTCTTCTACCCTAATATATACATATAGAATAATGTAGTTTTCTTACAAACTGGTTCCTATTCCCGAAATTTCCGCAATGCTTGTTAACCTTGATAGTGAAAAGGGAATTATCTATTGGCCTTTCCATGCGCCAACAATGCAAGTAGAAACCAATGAAGTATCTTTCCATTGACCACCACTCTGGGTGGGGGTTCCAGTAAGCTCGTATGAAGCATCAAAGCCACCCGCAGCCCAGGCTGTGTATCCGAGGTAAACGTCCGAGTTTGAGCTACGAGAGTTAGCAAGAGTACTTTTGTCATATCTTAGGAGAGCTTACTTCAAAAACTTAAGCTCCTGGCACAGATACTGTGCGCAGCTGGCGGTATTTCCACCACCAGTCTCAGACAAAAAGGCTTTGCGACCATTCTGCCTCAGCCAAGTAGCAAGCGGCTGGAAGGCAGTGTCGATGCTGTTCTTGACGCACTCCGTGTGCGTGCCAGAGTTGTCGCTATCAAGATACTTATGCACGTCCATGATAAGGTTATCCTTAGAACCATTCGGGTTCTTTACGTTATTCAGAGCAGCTGCAGAGCCAGAAGAGACAAAGGTTTCTGCGCTGGTGTAACCCTGGCCGGGTAGCAGGATGAGGTTGTTCTGGGCACCTGCATTGCGAATCGCGGTCACAACAGCCTGAACAGTGGTGGCCCAGCGTTTAATGTCTGGAATATCCTGTGAAACATCATCAGCTGAAGGAATATTGAAGGCGCGTGTACAGCAACTTACATGGGGTTCGTTCATGACACCAAAGGCAATCTGGGAATGACTGCCGTACTTCTGGGCAAGCTGCTTCCACACGTCCGCCAACTGCGCATCGGCTGGCCCGCCCTGACCTATAATCTGACCATTCCATCGTGCGTAGTTGTGTAAGTCGAGAATACATAATTTGGCACCGGAATTCAAGCAACCCTGGACAAGGGTATCGTACTGGGCGGCGTTATTGGAGTCCAGCTTACCACCAAGTTGGTTGTTAAGCAGGAACTGCCATCCAACAGGCAGACGGAAGGCGTTGAGAGTGTCATCCTTCACAAAGTGGTTCATTTGGCCGATTCCTGTACCGCCACTGATGAAGTTGTACGGCTTGTTGGTTCCGGTCAAAGCACAGCTGCCATCGGTGGTGCAGCCAAAATCAAACCCAGCCATGTTGATACCTGCGTACATGACCTTGGAAGCTCGTGGTGAAACATTGGTGGGGGCAGCAGCCACCAAGGTGGATCCGGCGAGGGCGGTGATCAACGTAGCCTTCATGATTTCCTGGTTCAGAACCTCTGGTCGAAAATGAATGATTGAAGAAGTGCGGAACAAGTGGAAGCCTGGAGTTGCTGCTTGAGGGAAGTCAGGAGCCTTTTATACTGACATACAGCGATGCGGCCTTTTCCATGGTATGCCGCCACTAGGCCCGCGGCTGTGCTACGCGTACTTTGAGCGAGCGGGGCGTCGCATCACGTTGCGAAGTGCATTCATCTTCTGATCTGTCTAAGTAAACCACCGGTAGATTGGTTTCTAGCCAGGTTGAGCAATCGACGAGCCCAATGTGGGCACCATAAGATTGTCAGGTACAACAGGTCCAGAGTCCTGTCTTTTCTATTGGACTCCGACCCTGGTGGAGGCCACTAGGTCGTATATTATGCAAGGCATGCAAGGTAAACACGCGAAGGCTGCGCTTGAGAAGCTTGGCTAGGCTTTGTGAAGCTTCGAAGCCGTGAATTGATTAACCTCGGACATGCATTAGTCGCAATCTGGAAGGAATCTTCCCAAATATAGGCATGGGTTGTAACTGAGATCACGAGGTTGCCACATTGAAACTGCTAGCGCCTCCAGACTGGTAAGCTTCAAAAAACGTGGCTGAAATCTGGGGTATTGCAAATTATCCGTGCAAAGGCCTACTGGTACAAACGAGTCAAAAGAAACTTTGCATGCATCTCCAAATGTAGCACGTATTGGTCGTCTTGCAGATTGACCGTGCGATGGCTACATCCGACAACGACAACTCGTCGATTGACGCCCTTATTGGACTTTATTTACTTCATGATTGGCTCCGCAGGTTTCCAATTCAAGCTTCGACCAAGCATCAAGGTTTGACGCTTGGTTAAACTGCCGGGCCGTCGATCCACCCCGAACGGTTAATACGAACACCAATTGACACACATCGATAATGCCGAAGCGGTCTCCACTAGGTTTCAACAAAATTATAGCAGTCATGGGTTATCTTGTTTACGGAACTCCGGAACGCGGATTCCTAGTGACATTGTTTGCAATCTACTTCAAGAAACCGTTTGTTTCAGACCTTTAGGAGGTACTGCACTATGATTGTGATTTTATTTTGTAACGCGAAGAGGAATTGGGTACCACTTCTCATAATACATCAACAAAGTTAAACAGGCTCCTAACACGCGCGAGGTTTATAATTCCTCAAGAATTTATAACGATACTACAAGTATATAACTATAGAGCTAGATGTGATAGTAGAGTTGGAATAGGTATTTTATCTTACAAGAGCCAAAGCAAACGCCACTAGAACTGGATGTTTAGGTCAAAGTAGCCAGGTTGGCAAGCTCGCGCTGCAGGGTCGCAGAGGGTATTCAGGGCATCGCGACAGTGTACGTTATTGCTGGCGTCTAACAACGGTAAGATTGGGCCTGAATGAATTCCATGCAACGCGCCAGAGCCTTGCGACATGAGCGTTTGCGTCGCTGTTTGCAATGACGTCCATGTGGCCAAAGTCATTCCTTCAGCAAGGACGAGTAAGCACTTGTGGACCAAATCAAGAATCTCACTGCGGTAACGTCCTGAGGTGCGCTGCAGAGACTCCAACGCACAACGGTGTGACTCTGCGCATGTGGTGAGGGTAGCGGGCATTCGTTCGGCCATGGATGTGTTCATGTTCTTTTCCCCCCAGGGTGTGTGGAACAGCCACATTGCCACTGCTGATATAGCACTAGAAAGGATCATCATATGGGCTGTGGCGGGCGACAGTGTTGTGAGCTCCTTGTCTAGTGACATGATTGTGGGGAGGACCTGCCTCACAATTAGCGGATGATGGCAAGATGGTGATTGAGGTGCAGCATGAGTTTGCCTACCTCGCCAAGTAGCAGAGCATGCTCGAAAGCAGAGTAGAAAGTGGAATGATTGACCAAGTCGACGTTGGTCAAGATGTGCATGGGGTCGGATCCCACATCTGCACAGCGATTAGCCACATATTCTTTTTCGGGATCAATACATGCGCGCACATGAAATCATGAAAATACCATGTAGCCAGATCATGGCTTCTGCTTGGAAGGTGTATGTCAAGGAAGAGAACTGGAGCGCTTTTGTTGGGAACGCGAGGTAATAGTCTTCAAGATGCAGACGAATCTTGCTGGCTGCATCAGTTGCCTCCTGACTAGGAAGCTTACAGACCCGGTCGAGCAATCTTGATTATATGGCGTCAGCACATGAGGCAAGCATCTGCCAGGGCACAAGTGCATACGGAGATAGCGGCAGAAACAAATTTGCGAAACTTGAAGTGCTATGAGGGAAGAAGTCGTCGCTGGTCGGCACGTCGGTAGGAGTATGTGCTAGTTGGCTGGGCAAGGGGGTGACTGGAGCGGAAAATTCCATGGCTGCAAAGCCACGTCCATTCACAAGCCTCAAAACACTTGGGCGTGGAGTTTGGTCAGCTGTAAAATCAATGCAGAGGTTGGAAGGGGCAACCGCACATGTTCTGGTGCTGGATCATCTGTCCAAGGCTGCATTGTGTTGGTTAGCATGGGCTCACGATGCGAAAACGTCACCAAAGGCTGCTGTGGAACTGTGGGTGGGGGTTGGCGCACTGTGTATGAAGCCTAGCAGTTTCTGGGTGCGAAGGCGCTGCAAGCGCGTTTAGAAGAAGCTGTGCGACGCCATTCCACTGAGCAGCAATAGCAGAGAGCTGGCTATTTAGACACCAGGCGTAACTGGCCAGAGAAAGAGCCAGTGATTGAGAATGGTTGATGTCGGTAGTTTTCCAGGTCAACGTGGGAATGCGCTTGAGAAACTCGATGCGCAGAGTGTCGATGATGATATCTTTGTTTTCATAGATGTTGCGCGGCAACAAGTCCGGGTAGAGCTCCAGAGCAATGGCGAGCAAGCTCAAGGTCAGCTCCACAGGACATCGCGGATGCGCCTTGTCCAAGAAGCATTGAGTGGCGATGGTGGCATTGAGGTGTAGGTCGTTGAGAATGCTCAAGGGGCCATGCTTGGCCGCCTGTAGAAAGAGGTGGTCAAGGATGCTGTATGCTGTACTCATGTCTAGGCCCAAGGCACTCAAATGGTCCACGGGCTGAAGAGCAGACGTTGAGTTGCTACTGGAAGACGTTGACATGGACCGCCCGTCGACACGGCCAAGTGGCCCGGCGGCATACATGGAGACGGCTTCCTGGGGACCCCCGCTGTTCAAGCCCGAAGACTGCTCGTCGTGCGAATATACTCGGCAGAGAGCGGTCGCTGCTATCCAGGCACCGTCATTGCTGAGAGTGTCGGCATCGCTATGGGCATGCTGAGCTATGTCGAAGGCTTGCAAATCATGGCCATGGCCATTTCCATCGACATTGCCAGGGCCGTTGCCATCGCCACTGCCGCTGCCATGATCATGGTACAGAGTATCGATCACATTATCCGTCGTGTGTAGCGATGGCACAGTCTCGGCAGCAGCGAACGAGCCGTCTTCATCCAGCATAGACTCATGTGTAGGAAATGGCGGCGACGCTGAGGGCCGAGTATCCTCGGCTTGGACGGGCGCAGGGCTTTGCCTGGCCGTCGCCCGACGCTCGTTCTTCTTGGGGCGACCGCGACGCCTGGCTGGACGGTCAAGAAGACAGTTCAGGCTGAGGCGACTGCATCGGGCGCAGGGTAGGGAGCCGTCGCATTGCGTCTTCTGCGTTGGGGGAACGTGTTAGCGACGGGGCGGGGGTTGTACGTATGTATGTATGTACTTATGTACGGCCTGTGCTCACAAGAGAAAAGCATCTATCGCATGCGCGGGGCATCACTGGTGGTGTCTTGTTTGCCGACTGCGCAGCGTTCCATGATACCGCATGCAGCGGCTTGGGTAGGGCAGGGCAGGGCAGGGCAGGGCAGAGATGCGGTTTCGCTCATCTCGATCCCGTGCCGATGAGATAGATAAGTAAGCCTCCAACCTCGGGCCAACCTCGGGCCAAGACTCGCGCCATTCCCTTTGCAGAACCAAGCAACGCCTGCTGTATCTCTCTGTTCTATCATTGCAGGAAACCCTCCTAACACGTACAACTACATGTATGCTGAGAATGACAAAAAACAAAAGCTACACAATACCCACTCCAACAGAGGTTGAGTTTTGCTAGGTTTTTAGGCTAATGTGGGGACTTGAAAAGAGTGGAAAAAGTAGTTTATATCCACAACACAGTAGGACAGACTAGCTATCATCCAGCATGTAATACAGAGGAGAGCAGAGCTACGTGCTATCCACTTATATGTACCTGCTCTTCCGACTCTACCAGGCGTGACCTATGCTCCTGGTGTGCATTGATACATATGAGACCAACACCAGCCATTCCCCATGACACAACAGCGCCACATGGCCTTTTGTTGATACTGGGAAGTGAAATGCAGAGACAGGAGGTGCAAGCAGTAAACTCCATGCATGTATATTCCAGCGGTGCACCGGCGGGCAAGGCGGGCAGCTAGCGCCTGCGCACTAATAGAACCGGCTTAACGTGCAGGGTCAGTAAGCTGGGCAGATCAGTAAGCTGGGTGTAAGGGGCTGCGCTCCGGGGAGCAATCGCGAGGTATACAAGAGGTTGTATTCGATAGAGAGCTATAGAGTCTACTTGCGTGGTGTTTATTTACTTGTCGGAGAAAGGTTGCAC